AATAATAATAATAATAATAATAATAATAATAATAATAATAATAATAACAATAATAACAATAATAATAATAATAAATAATAGCAATAATAATAATAAAAAAAATAGTAATAGCAATAAACATAATAATAATAATAATAATAATAATAATAATAATAAAAGCAATAAACATAATAATAATAATAATAATAATAATAATAATAATAATAATAATAATAATAATAATAGCAATAAACATAATAATAATAATAATAATAATGATAATAATAATAATAATAATAATAATAACAATAATCCATAATAATATTAATAATAATAATAATAATAATAATAATAATAATAATAATAATAATAATAATAATAATAATAATAAATAATAATAGTAATAATAGAACAACCAAACAGCTTTTATTGTTTTCATTACGGAGCCTCAGGGTTTCTTTATTTTTCAACTTTTGTCAAAAAATTTTCGTAAAATTGCAAAAATATATATTCATTTCAGGATTACGAGAACTCATGTCATTTTTATATCTTTAGCATTTTTACTATGTAGTCAAAGCAGCCTAACACATATGATGAAAATAATATCCCCCATATTTCAAGGCCAAATTCGTCATTTCTTGTTTTTATTTTTGCTTTTAAATATTAATTTTACACAGACTGAGACGACACCTGTCCTATTAGCTATTGCAAATAAACATATCTCAAATAGTAAGTGTTATAATAACTGAAGGATGTATTGAATGTGAATGTTTCAGATGCTAACGAACATTGCATGTTCACAAGTGCACTTTCTTCAAGAAAACTGACACATGGCATGCGGTGACTTTAAAGTAAGCTTTCAAGTTAATAACATAAAGCGTCAGTGCGGAGGACACACACACACACACACACAATAGCTCTGTATATCTCCAGTGCATTAAAGGATAAAACCGCATTGGTGGCCTTTATAATGCTCTGGGAAATCTGCAGTGGAGAAAAAAAGAGTTTCATGCAGACATTCAACTCAGGATTTTGTGTCCTGTTTCATTTAAAAGTGCCATGTACTGCATTGATTAAATATGTTCAATTGTTTTCTGATGTCTACATAGTGGGTATGTGGCATAAGTAAGTTCTATAATTCAATATATGTCCAGAAATGGTGTTATATGCTCATTTATTACTCCGTTAAGCACCCCTGCGATCAGAAGATCCCTATTGACCATATTTGGAATGGTCATGAATATTCATGAGCTCTGCTCTGACATAGCTCTCTGAATGAACATTAAACACAATACCCAGCAGTCTGCATGTGTGTGCTACCTCAAATTACAAACATGTCCAGCAAATGTACTATTAAGCATGATAAGATAACAAAGGATACAATTAAATATGCATTACAGTGATCATTTTAAAATATTTTTACGATATTTTAATCCGTATATCCTGCATTTTGTGCTCTGATGAGCTTTCTAAAGCAATATAAAGCATAACTAAAGCACATAAAGCAAACTACTGTGGCTGACTTTTACTTTACTGTGTCTCCTGTTTTCAAAATAAGAGTCCCACATACTGCGCATGATAAGTGTAATATAAAATTTGATGAACTTATAAAACTAAGTGAGGAAAATGATCATTAGCCATTGGGATTTTACGTGAAAATGAGGAAACATTGGTGTTTAATGTTTACGGTATGATCATTTCCATATACTGATCTCTTGGTATTGGACTGTGACTAGCTATACCCAGATTTTCTTTATAGGGCACATTGAGGTGGCCTTAATTACTATGTACAGTGCTTACATTAGACTAGAAGTGCAATGTATTTGGGTTAAGGTGTAAGGGATGAGTCAACAGTGATACAAATGTAATTACAGATGTAATTAAAAGCTGATTTTTTTATGTATTTGTACAATGTAAACAAAAATGTTTGTACAAAATAAGTAAATTGTACTAAATTAATAATTTAAATGTATGTACTTAGTAATTTAATAATTATTTAATAATAATTTACCCAATAATGAAAGTTTACTTACTATTCATGTGGTTATGAGGTCCTTTCTTCTGTTGAATACAATATAAGATATTATAAACAATGCTGAAAGCTGGTAACCTTTAACTTTCATTGTAGGAAAAACAAATGGAAGTCAATGGTTACAGGTTTCCAACATTCCTTAAATTATCTTCTTTAGAGTTTTATAGAAGAAGGGAACTCATAAATGTTTGAAATGTGAGTAAATGATCTGTGTTTTGTTTTTGGGTGCACTGTCCCCTTGATATAGTCCACTTAATGTAAAGTAGCACTGG